AGGAAACAGGAGATGTGTAACGCTAGGATTCATAATTAAGGAGCAATACACAATGCAACCGTAATTTAGAACGGATCATAGGGAAGCGAAATTAAATGTGGAAGGTGGAGTATTAAAGTAACGAAGGAAAATAACAATGCCGTTAAAATCAAGGTCACAACTAACATGAGGATTCAAGCCATTATGAAAGAATCTGCTGGCTGTTTCATAATTCACTTTAAAGCTCTTAATAATTATTCAAATATTCTGTCATTGCTATGAGAGCAGAGACCATAGGAACTCTGGGATGGTCACCGAAGAATACTCTAGAAGTAGGTAAGTCCACCAGGGTGCAATGATGGCACTAGGTACTGAGCAATTTCCAAGTCAAAGGCAAACCTGGTAAGTCTTTCCTTAAATCTCCCAAGAAAGAGCAGGCTCACTCCTCCAGGCACAACCTAAGCTGGATCTTACTAATTTGAATACAATCAGATTTACTTCTTAGGACACAAGAGACAGAAAAGGAGGAAGTGATCTCTTTTAACACATCCCTTTTAACACCTGGAAGCAGTGTAAAGGACCAGAAGGCATAGGGAAGCCATGTTAGAGTTGCCATGGCAACACCCCAGGATGCGCTTAGAGACTGAAATGACAGAAAAGGGCACGGCTGGGTGATGGCTTCTACCAGGCACCAGAGGCATATTGAGGTGGGGATGGTGTTCTGGTTGATGAGTCGGTGGGATTTCTGCATGGACAGGACTTCAGATGACCCCTCTGTTCTCTAAAAATAAAAATCACCTGAAGCAATTGTCCTGTAAGCAGCCAGGGAGCCTAGTCCTTTCACTCTGTTGATCTGGGTTTGGGTGGCCATTTGCTTCTTCTGCAGCTCATCTTTTTCAATTCCTTTCTGCTTTTCTGGTTTGTTTATTTGTTTGTTCATTCACACTCTCTGTTAATCAGCTGAAGAGGTTATTATAAACAGAATTAATTTATTCTAGCTACTGGTCCAGGAAAGCATATGGTGAATGTGACAGAACAATAGTTATCTGCAACCACACAGTAATAAACTCAAGAGAAACAAATCAAACGGGGGCGCCCCACCCACTTCACAGCAGACAATGAATTTATTGCTTAACACCCTTCCAAGTCTCATTATGCTTTCTAATACTCTCTTCCACATTTCCCCAAGGTCTTATTTATCCTCTCTTGATGGACAGTCCATGAGGCAGCATAATATAGTAGTTAAAATCATGGATTCCACAACCAAGCTACTTAGGTTTGCTTCTGAGTGCCACTAAATAAATTTATTTTGGGAAAATTCATGTCAACCTATCACAATATTCTTTCTTCTTTTTTTAAATTGAGGTATAATTGACACATAACATTTTATCAGTTTCAAGTGTACAATGTAACGATCTGATATCTGTATACACTATGAAATGATCACCACAGTAAGTCTAGTCACCCACCACCCATCACCATATGAAATTAGAAAATTTTTTTTCCTTATGATGAGAACTTTTAAGATGTACTCTCTTGGCAACTTTCAAATATGCACTGCGACAGTATTGACAGTAGTCACCATGCTGTACATCACATCTCTGTGACTTATTTATTTTATAACTGGAACTTGGTACCTCTTGACCCACTTCATCCATCTCTCCCACCCCCAACCACCCTCCCCCCTTGGCAACCACCATTCTGTTCTCTGTATTTATGAGTTTTGTCTTGTTTATTCTTTTGCTTTGTTTTTTAGATTCCACATGTAAGTAAGATCATACGGTGTTTGTCTTTCTCTGTCTGACTTATTCCACTTGGCATAATACCCTCAAGGTCTACCCATGTTGTTGGAAATGGCAACATTTCATTCTTTTTATGGCTGAGGGTATTGCATTGTATATTATATACACCACATCTTCTTTATCCATTCATCCATCGATGGACACGTAAGTTGCTTCTACATCTTAGTGATTAGAAACAATACAGCAATGAACATAGGGGTGAATATATCTTTTCAAAGCAGTGTTTTCATTTTCTTCAGATAAATACCCAGGAGTGGAACTGCTGGATCAAACGGTGGCTCTATTTTTTAATTTTCTGAGGAATCTCCATACTGTTTTTCATAGTGGCTGCACCAATTTACACGCCCCCAACAGTTCCCTTTTCTTCACATCCTCACTAACACTTGTTATTTGTCTTTTTGATAAGCTGTTCTGACAGATGTGATGTGATAGCTCACTGTGGTTTTGACTTGCATTTCCCTGTTTAGTGATATTGAGCATCTTCTTATGTGCCTGTCGGCCATCTGTATGTCTTCTTTGGAAAAAAGATCTATTCAGATCTTCTGCCCTTTCTAAAATTGGGTTGTTCGTTTTTCTGTTGTTAAGTTGTATGAATTATTTATATATTTTGGATATTAACCCCTTATTAGATATATAACCTGCAAGCATTGTCTCCCATTCAGGAGGTTGCTCTTTCATTTTGCTGATGGTCTCCTTTGTTGGGCAGAAGGTTTTTACTCTGAGGTAGCCCCACTTGTTTATTTTTCCTTTTGGAGTCAGATCCAAAAATCTGTGCCAAGACCAATGCCAAGAAGCTTACTCCCTATGTTTTCTTCTGGAAGTTTTATGGTTTCAGGTCTTACATTCAAGTCTCTAATCTATTTTGAATTAATTTTTTGTGTATGGAGTAAGATAGTAATCTAGTTTCATTCTTTTGCATGTAGCTGTCCAGTTTTACCAACACACCATTTATTAAAGAAACTTCCTTTCCCCATCGTATATGTTTGCCTCCCTTGTTGAAGATTAGTTGACTGTAAAATTGGGTTTATTTCTCCATTCTGTTTCACTGATCTATGTGTTTTTATGCCAATACCATGTTGTTTCAATTACTATAGTTTTGTAATATAGTTTGAAATCAGGAACAGTGATGCCACCAGCTTTGTTATTTTTTCTCAAAATTGCTTTGGCTGTTCAGGGTCTTTTGATAGGGAGTGCACTGAATCCGTAGATTGCTTTGGGTAATATGGACATTTAAAAAATATTAGTTCTTCCAATCTATGAGCACAGGATATTTTTCCATTTATTCCTGTCTTCTTCAATTTCTTTCATCAATGTCTTATAGTCTTCAGTGCACAGTTCTTTTACCTCTGGTTAAATTTTATTCTTTTGATTCAACTGTAAATGGAATTGTTTTCTTAATTTCTCTTTCTGAAAGTTCATTATTAGTGTTTAGAAACACAACTGATTTTTGTATGTTGACTTTGTGCCCTGCAACCTTACTGAATTCATTTATTAGTTTTAACTTTTTTGGAGTCTTTAGGGTTTTCTACATATAAAATCATGTCATCCACAAATAGAGACAGGTTTACTTCTTCCTTTCCAGTTTGAATGCCTTTTCTTTCTTTTCCTTGCCTAAGTGCTTTGGCTAGGACTCCCAATACTATGCTGAATAAAACTGGGCATCCTTGCCTTGTTCTTGACCTTAGAGGAAAACCTTCTGTTTTTCACCACCGAGTACGATGTTGGCGGTGGGCTTGTCATATATGGCCTTTATGATGTTGAGGTATGTTCCCTCTTTGCTCACTTTGTTGAGAGTTTTTTTTTTAATCATAAATGGATGTTGAATTTTGTAAAATGCTTTTTCTGCATCTATTGAGATAATCAAGATTTTTGTCCTTCATTTTGTTAATGTGTTGCATAACACTGATTGATCTGAAGATGTCGAATGATCCTTGCATTCTGGAGTAAATTCCACCTGATCATTGTGTATAATCCTTTTAATGTGTTATTGAATTCAGTTTAAAGTTTTCTGTTCAGGATTTTTGCATCTATGTTTATCAGGACTTTGGGCCTATAATTTTCTTTGCTTGTAGTGTCCCTGTCTGGTTTTGGTATCAGGATATTGCCGGCCTCATAAAATGAGTTTGGAATCATTCTCTCCTCTTCAATTTTTGGGAAAAGTCTGAGAAGTCAAATCTTCTTTAAATGCTTAGTAGAATCTGGTCTTGGATCTTCGTTTTCTGAGAAGTTTTTGATGAATGATTTCATCTCCTTGCTAGTAATCTGTCTATTCAGATCTACTAATTCTTCAAGAGTCTATCGTGAAAGATTGTATGTTTCTACAAATTTATCCATTCCTTCAGGGTTGTCCAATCTGTTGGTGCATAACTGCTCCTAGTGGTCTCACGGTCCTTTGAGTTTCCATGGTAACGCTGTAATTTCTCTTCCAGTTCTGGTTTTATTTATTTGCGCACTCTCTCCTTTTACCTGGTGAGCTAAAAGTCTGTCAAATCACCAGTTTAGGTTCACTGGTCTTTTCTATTGTCTTTTTAGTCTCCACTTATTTCTACTCTGATCTTTGTTATTTCTTTCCTTCCGCTAATTTTGTGTTTCATCAGCTCTTCTTTTTAGGTGTAAGATTACTATGTTTATTTGAGATTCTTCTTGTTTTCTGAGGTATGCTTGTATCACTATAAACTTCTCTCTAGAATTGCTTTTGCTGCATCTCATAGATTTTGTTAGGTTGTAGTTTCATTTTCAACATATTTTTTGACTTCTTCCTTGACTTAAACATCGACTCATTTCTTGGTCAGTTTTAATTTGCACATATTTGTGATTTGTCCAGTTTTCTTCTTTTAACTGATTTCTAGTGTTATATCATGTGGTCGAAAAGGATGCTTGATAAGATTTCAGTCTTCTTAAATTACGGAGTTTTGTGGCCTGACATATGATCTTCTATGGAGAATGTTCCAACTGTACTTGAGAAGAATGTGTATTCTGCTGCTTTGGGATAGAAGCAGATACAGATATACATGTTTGGATATATATGTGTGTGTGTATGTACGTATAAGGTCTGTTTGGTCTAATGTGTCTTTCAAGGCTGATGTTTCCTTATTGATTTTCTGTCTAAATGATCTATTCATTGATGTAAGTGGGCTCATAAATTCCCCTACTATTATTGTATTATTGTCAATTTCTCCCTTTCTGTCTTCAAATATTTGTTTTATACTCTTTAGGTGCTCAGTTTTCTCATCGCAAAATGGGAGGAAGATAATAGCGCCTACCTTCTCGTGTTGTTTTGAGGATTACATGAGTTCATATCTGTAATGGGCACAGAAACATGCCCTGTAGGCATTTATCACTGTCACAGGGCATGTTTTCCACAATGGTTCTTCTAAATAATGGTCCTGTTTAATTGCTTTAATTATCTCCAGGGAGCTGATGACTGTCCAGTCCTTATCTCCTTTGTCATCATTTTCCCATGCTCCTGACTTCCATGCCCAACTGCCTGCCGGTGTATATTCTTGAAAGTCCCGTGAGCCTTCCAAACTCAACAAACTCACTCACACTGGACACATTACATCCCCTTTCACCTCAGGCCCTTCTCTCTACTCCAGTTCTTCAAATGACTGTCGTTAGCCTGGTCTCAGATCCAACGTCACCTCCTCAGGGAAGCCCTACCTGACCAGCCTATTCATAGGGGCCTCCCTACCCCTCTCCTCATCCCTGAAGACTGTCCCTATCTTAGCATCCTGTTGTGGTTCCTTCATAGCCCTGATCACTGTATCTGATATAATTTTCCTCATTTATTTGCTTACTTGCTGAATGCATGTCCCGTCCACTAGAACAAAGCTCCATGAGACCAGCACCTTATTTTGTTCACGGCTACATCCTTGGAACCTAGAGCAATATTTGGCACTTAGTACACACCTAGTGTCTACTACATGAATTTGCTGAGTAAATTCCATGGCATAAATTTCGGAAGATTTTGCTCTCGTATATTTGTTTAAGAAATGTTTTCAGGCAGAACATTCTTTGACATAAATTGTAGCAATATTTTTTTTTTGGATCTGTCTCCTAAAGTAAAGGAAACAAAAGCAAAAATAAACAAATGGCACCTAATTAAATTTAGAAGCTTTCGCAAAGCGAAGGAAACCATCAACAAAAGGAAAAGACAACCTTCTAAATGGGAGAAAATATTTGCAAGTGATAGGACTGATAAGGGGTTAATAACCAATATATATAAACAGCTCATACACTTCAATATCAAAAAAAAATCAGAAACAAACAACCTGATTAAAAAAACACACATTTTCCCAAAGATAAAATGATGCAGATGGCCAATAAGCACATGAAAAGATTCTCAACATCCCTAATCATCAGGAGAATGCAAAGCAAAACCACGATGAGATATCATCTCGCACCTATCAGAGTGGCTGTCATCAAAAAGAACACAAATAACAAATGTTGGCGAGGATATGGAGATAAGGGAACCCTAGTACACTGGTGTGCTGTTGGTGGGAATGTAAACTAGTGCAGCCGCTGGGGAAAACAGTATGGAGGTTCCTCAACAAACTAAAAACAGAACTCCCATATGACCCATCAATTCCACTCCTGGGTATGTATCCAAAAAAACCAAAAGCACTTAATTTGAAAAGATAACATGCACCCCAATGTTCATAGCAGCATTATTTGCAGTAGCCAAGATATGGAAGCCACCTAAGTGTCCATCAACAGAGGACTGGATAAAGAAGTTGTGAGATATGTATATACAATGGAATACTATTCAACCGTAAAAAAGAATGAAATTTTGCCATTTGCAACAGCATGGACGGACTTTGAAGGTATTATGCTGAGTGAAGGAAGTCAGACAGAGCAAGGCAAATACTGTATACCATCACTTCTATGTGGAACCTAAAAAATACAGCAAAGTAATGACTAAAACAAAAACTAAGCAGACTCATACACAGGGCAAACTAGTGGTTACAAGTAGGGAGAGGAAAGAGGGAGGGGTGATACAGAAGATTATGAGGTACAAACTATAATGTATAAAATAAGCTACAAAGATGTATTTACTGTACAAGGGCTATAGCCAACATTTTATAATAACTATAAATAGAGTAGAACCCTTAACATTGTGAATCACTGTATTGTACATCTGTAGCTTATGTAATATTGTAGATGAACTATATTTCAATAAAAAAAGAAATGTTTTCACCAATGATGCTAAAAATAGAAAGGCTTTGGCCCTTGGTACAGTAAGTTTCAGCTATCTGAAATATTCAATATGTGGAAAGTCTCATTGTCCCCGAAACAGGAGCTAAATAAATTCTCTATAGTTTTTTTTTCTTGCCCACGTAACTTTTGTACATTTATTAGAAGTTTAAACAAGTTCAGCTTAAATGCATCTTGATGATGACAGTGATCCCACTGTGATTTTAGGTCTTTATTTCAAAATAAATGTCCATGAATGACAAGTACATTTATTTTGACATACGTGCCTCCTGTCCTTTAAAGAACCACTTGACTGTTTTCACTAACAACTATCTAAAATGTATTCTTGAAAATACAGCTACTAGACTTAGGGACAAAGAGTGAAATCAAGTCCAGTGCATTCCTTAGTCAGTTTCAACAAAGGACAAGTAGAGATTCTAACAGCTCCCAGGGAGACTGGCAGTCGTGGGACCTGGAACCAGATAATTCCGCTAACGGGAGGATATGTTTGTTGATCCTAATTTGATGATCGCTTTTTATACTAGCTAGGTCAGCTGAACTCAACATTTACTGAATTTACACTTTGGGCTCCATCTCTCAATTAAGTTCTGGACAGAATACAGTAAGTAAGACACAGAACCCATCCTCAGATGAGTTAGTACCTGTGCACCTGCCTGGCACACAGCAGATACTCAATAAAAGTACGCCGACTCCACTAAAGCAGAAAACAACATTAGATGAGAGCATTAGAAAGATTTACAACATGCCCTGGGGCTTGCAGCTTGGACGGGCAGAAAGAAGCTGGGATTTGGACATGTGTACCATGCTGAAATCCCAGCTCTGAGGCTTCCTGGCTGTGGGATCCTCAGCAAACTTCTTAACCTTGGCAGACTCAATTTGATCCCTTGTAAACGGGGATAAGAAGTCCTACACCTTGTGGGACTTGCCACTGGAGCATTAGATACGATATTTGTAAAGCGCTGGGGTTGGCACAGGGCAGGGGCTCAACACCTGGCAAGCAAGATGCGGCATGGAAGGGAGATTGCCAAAAGCAGGGCATGCTTTGAAACGAACTTGTGATAGGAAAGCCAGATGAAGGTGTTCCAGGCAGAGGGAGTGCTGTGAGCAGAGCCGGGAGGAGAACTGCGCAGGCTGCGTGCATCCCTCTGGGGGACAGGGCATCATTCTGGCGGCCGGGTTAGAATGGCCGAAGACACGAAGCAGCGGAACGGTAAATCACATGTCGGCTGAGGGCTTTGAATCCCAGACCCAGGAGTTCCTAATCTGTGAGGTCAGTTAAACAGGGATCTACTGAGAGTCTGGGGCAGGGAGGAACAGGTAGAAAATCAAACAAAATATTTAGAAATTCAGAAATAGCATCGAGCTGGAAGGGACGTGGGAATTGATCTAATCCAATGGACACATTTTCACAGATAAGGAAACTTGAGAGTCAAAGTGCATAAGAAACATGCTCAGAGTCCCAGGCGAATTGGCACCAATGCAGTGTCCCGACTGGAATCCAAGTCTCCTGACTTAACCAACACTTTTCCCCTAGTGCCTCCAAAATATGGCATATGTACATATATGCATGTATGTACACACACACACACATACATACATACACACATACATTTACACACACACTAAAACACATGATGCTTGAGAAAAAATATCCAGCAGTATATTTTCTGTGGGGACAGAGAATGATTTTCTCTGGGACAGAGAAGTGGAAGGGCATTGATAGCTTTCGCCAGCCATTCCGTCTCTCTCCAGAACAGGCACCATCTCTCCTGCTACCCTGCTTCCTTCCTCAGACTCCAACCTGCTCAACCCTCACCTCCCACTCCCACTTCCCTGCTAATTCTGTATCTTTTCAACATTCGTCAGTGTTAAATAACACTAGAGGGAAGCAAAGCGCCCAATCCAGAAAGTGGGACTTTCCACAGGACAGTTGTAACAAGCTCAACACATCGATGGTTGAGTAAAAACCATCAAAAAGTAAGCAAGGGTCTGCTCTGATGTGGAAGGGCCCTAGGAGACAGAGCCTGAGCTCGTGTTTACATCTGAGCTCCACCTGGATCCTCACTTGGAAAAACAAAAAGCACCCGTGAAAAGACAGTTCTGAGGCAGAGATACAAACGAGGACCAGATATTAGGAGAGACCGTTAATTTTGGACATGACGATGACTCTGCAGCTGACGGGGAAATGTCGGTCTTCACAGCGGTACCTACTAAATTAAAGGATGGGGTGGAACTACGAGATGCTGAGATTCGCTTTAAAGTAATTCAGGCAAATAACAGGGGGCAGATGAAACAAGTGAGTTACATTTTGGAGAGGCAGGTAATTAGGTTTATTTATTTATTTGCTAATGGAGGTGCAGGGGATTGAACCCGGGGCCTGGTGCATGCTGAGCATGCGCTTTACCACTGAGCTACACCCTCCCCCTCCAACAGATTTATTTTCAAACAGATATTATTAGCCATTCTACAGATAAGGAAACTGAGGCAGAGATTACAGTAATTTGCTTAGGGTCACGCAGTCAGTAGATGGCAAGGCACAGATGTGAACCAAGACAGTCTAGTTCTAGAGCGCAGGCACCCGCCCACAAGGCCAACCAAACGGATTCCCCACTTCATGTTAACATCTCTAAGACTCAGTTTCTTTATCTGCCAAATGAGATTAACAAAGCCTGCCTCAAAAGATTGTTGTAAGGATTCAATGAAAAAATAACTCGAAAAACATTTGCTATCGCTAGTAATTGGATCTTTTCCAGACTGTGGGAAGGGATTTTGAGATGCTCAGCTCAGTGTGGTCCCCGCCTCTCCTGCCCCAGGCTCCCGAGTATGTTTCAGGACTCCTGGGAAGGAGCCCACGTCCTTTGACTGAGTTGGCCCGGGAGCGGGAGGCTCCCCGTGTTAATGGCCCCATGTCCAGGCAATCGCTGGACTGTGCAGTTGTTTATCTGCTCAGCACCAACTGAGTGCCCTTCATTGTGCTGGGAACTGGGTGAACTGGATAAGAACCCTGAACTTGGATGCTCTGTCTGTGGGCAAGATAAGCACAGAAACAAAAAATTATATTATAGCAGAGTGAGTGCTATATCAGAGGACGGTACGAAGGGAAAAAGAAATGCTGAGAATATGGTGATTAACTTTCCTGGAAGAGGAGGGGAAATCAATCAATGACACGGCACAAATCTATCGTGAACACTTGACAAATACTAATTTATGAAGGGACAGTTCTGCTGTTCTTGTCCAATCACACTCCTTTTACAAAATTATTGGGTTTGGAGAAGACCCCAGCTGAGTACGAAAGTTTAGTCCCTTTCTGTGCTCAGGGTTGTCAGGAAATCTTACCTGCAAAACTTCAAAGGTCCCATTTACTGTAAGCAACCTAGCAGCTCGAAGACGCGGAGAAATAGAAAATGTATTTTTTTTAATTCTTAGATTTAATCATTCAAAACCAGACACTATTTTCCTTTTATATAAAAGCACTCATACAAAAACACACCTATGGCTTTCTGCATGTGAAACTGAGGTAATGTAATATTAAAGATTTCCCTCCACGTTTCTCTTTATCTAGGAAGCGTGCCAGGGATGTTCTTGTCAACGTGACTTAAAAAAGACTAGGCCAAAGCTGACAGAGCTGTGTGAGAGCTAACAACGAAAAAATTTCCCTGCCCTTCATTCCTGCTCCAATGGCCCAGATCTGCCTGCTACCAGCCTATCGGCCACGGGCGAGGTGGAGTGAGCTGGACAGGGGCCTGTGGGGCCCAGACAGGGGGAGCAAACACGAGTGTGGGCCACCGCAGGCAGCGCCAGGCCCTCAGTGCTTGGGAAGCACAAACCTGTCACCCAAACGTGGGCCTCAAAGAACCTGTCTCCGGAGGAGGGGTGGGATGGGCAGCAGTGGCGGCGAAACGGCACAAAAGCCCTGGTCTCCCGCCTGTGCATTAAGATTCCAAAAGCACCGCGAGTGGAAAAGCTCTCCATTTGATCTACGAGACAGCAAGAGAGACAGAGGGAACGATGCAGATCAAGCTCTGAGGACAAGATGGGCCGGGTGTGGAGGTTTACACAGCACCCAAAAGCTGCAGATACCGACAAAGCAAGCCATCATCTCTGTGACGGTTTCTATCCGTCTGATTTCTCTCTCTGATCACAGTGGTGCCAAATGATAGAGCCTGTCCCCCACGCTAACATCCAAATCCACTTAACCTTTCTCCCCTTGCCGCTGTCCTTGTTCGAGTTCCCTGGTTGGTCCAGGCTGGGCTACAGGCCAGAGTCAACCGCTGTGGGAATGGTCGCGCCCTCAAGCCCCCTCCCCCAGTCATCCTTTGTTTTCCTAGCTGTTGTTTTTAGTGCCTAAGGGAACTCTGTTTTTCCCTGTGTTTTAAAGCAGCATGACAGCACTTATCTATTCTCAATCGCCCCCCCAGAGGCAGTGGCAACTACAGCAGTTTGCAGGTGTTTTGTGCATAGGGTGGCGTGGGGAGGGGCTCCTGCAGAGAAGCACTGCGCTCAGCAGCCTCCCGCTGGGCTGAAAGGCTGCAGAGGGAAGGAGGCCCATGGACGGTGTAATGACTTCACAGCCCATCTGGGCGGGAGGCCATCCCGGGCGTCCCACCGGTCTGCAAAGGACCCTTTACAATTGTCTCTTGGCTCCAATTCATCTGCTTATTTGCTTTTAACTAAAAGGATGTGAAACAATCCCTCCAGTCAGAAACGGAATGACTTCCGTGTACCTGACTGTGTCGGATGGTTACAGAATGCGAGTGCCTCACGTCCATAAAAGTCTGCTCCGAATGCTCCTACCCAGAGGAAAAAGACTGGGTGTCTTTAAACGTTCAAAGAGACGGGGAAGAATAAGGACTCTCCATCCAGCTGTGCCGAGGCAGACCATCCATCTCAGGGGGCAGGACCTTCGGGACGGAGCTGCATCAGGGTTATGGGGCTGGGGGAGGGCGGAGGACCAGCACGGAAACTAAGTTTGAGGATAAACCAAGAGAGATGGTCGGCCCTCTTATCTGCTGCAGTGAAACAGCTAAGATTCTTCGACGCCTGCTTGATGGTTTTTCTGTATTTCTCTGAAACCAGCTTTCCCTAAGGGGGCCTTCTCTGTGCTAAACTCAATGCCAGGGAGAAGCGATGTTGGAGCAGTGGGTGACCTGTTTTCCATCAAATGTCCTGCTCCCTGCTGGTGGCGAGAACTAAGGGGCCTCCATGTGGGAGTCAGGGCGCTCCTTGAAGAACCAACTATTAACGATCTACGTTAGGGCTGCCACAGAAACTGTCTACAGAAAGGTATCTGGGTGGACCAGGTATTCTCTAAGTATTTTGCATCTGCTACCGATTTATTTTGTCATTCAACTAACAAGCTAAAGCCAGCTCCAAAAACTGGGGAAGTATTTATAAAGAGGAAATTTTAATCGAGAAAATGCTCTCCATACAGTCATTTTCTGCAAACTAAGACTGCTGTTACTCTTTCAACGTTGAGTGTTTCAGGACTGAACTTTTCCGTACTTCAGCAGTTAGCAGTTTTGTACTAGGACTTTCCAGGAGCTGGCCATCGTGGGCCGGGGCCAGTTCCCGCCGAGAAACAAAGAGGGGATTCTTTACTGACAGTTACAAGAGATGTTATATAATCTCACTCTTTTCTTCCAGTAGCGAGTGTAATTACTTACTTGTCTAAGACGAAAAGCATTTTCCACCTAGGCTCTACCGTTCTGAATTTTTACTCCTCCACGAACGATCAGGCGGGGTCGAGGGGAGACAGTCAGGCTTTCCTGACCCTCCAAGCTCTCCAACCGGTAATTATCTTCAGAATTTAAAGACCATAAACAGACTTCTCTATGACTGCAATTTTATTTGCGAACTGACTGAGATCTGCCTAGATTTGAATCCTGACTCCACTTCTTGGTAGGCGGGTAGCTTTAGGTAGCGCAGTTTAGCTGCCCATCCCTTAGATTCCCCTCCTGTGAAGTGAAATCCTTATAAAGAAAAGTAGCAGCCTCACAGTATTGCTTCAGTTTCTTTCCCTTTTAATCTTCCCACTCCCTGGTGTGCTGGAAAGGAGGAGGCTGTACAGCCAGAAAATCTAAGTCTGAATTTTCATCCCAATAAATAAATAAAATGTATTAAATCATCCCACCTTTGTAATTTTAGCCAGGCAAGCCATCTAACCTTTTAAAATCTTAGTTTACTTACCTGCAAAATGGGGAGGAAAAAAACCACCGCTTTATAGGATTCAGGGCTTGAATGAGACACCTCACCTGAGTCCTGAACGATCTACTATTCATGTTACTTGACTTCCTTTATGATTCATGACTTATGTACTGTCCTCAGTACCAACCCTGGACACAGTTTTCTTGTTAAGTAATTATCTCCCCTACCCTCTGACGCAGCTCTGCCCTCCAACCTACTTTGCTCATCTTAACATTTCCATCCTAGCCTTCTTACCCTCTCATGCATGTCTAATTTCCAGCTATTATAAGCTGCAATTCCCAAGGATGTAACTGCAGTGACGAACTATGGTCTGGTACTGGAGCCTTGAGTAGCCTAGAAAAAGCCTGAGTCCAATAAAACATCTGTAGTCCGCCATCCTGCCATCAACCATTTGGGTCAAGATACGCCGGGCAGAAAGCTACCGAAATGGGCCTCCTGAGCTGAGAGGCAGTGGGGTCTGATGAAATCTTTGAGAGTAAATAGATTTCTCTCTTACCAACTGTTTGATCAGGGGCAGTTACTCAACCTTTTTGAGAAGCAGTTAGCTTTTACCTTACAACAGACTTCTGCTGCATTGTGTATGCGTGTGTTTGGTGGTGGGTGTGGACTGAGGGGAGTGCATCATTATAGACCATCTTCCAGGGAATCGAACTTGTGGCAACTACCCCACACTGTCCACCCCCACGCACATTGCTCTTATTCTGTTCTGTGCTTTCTTTTCCCACAGCTGTGATCGATTTCTGAAGTATTATATAATTTATTTGTTTATTATGTTTACTGTCTGTACTGTCCATTTTAATATCCACTAGAATGTGAGTCTGAGGGAAGGAATCTTTGCTGTTCCTTTTGCGGATTATTTCAAGTGCCTAAAGCAATACCTGATTCACATTAGGTGCTTAGTGAGTGTCTGTTGAATGAATGAACAAACGAATGAATCATAGTCAAAATGGAACATAAGCCAAAATATGTCTCGAAGTGATAACTTTTGGGGAGTCAGGTACTGAGTATAATTTAAATTTCTATGGAAGTTCTCATTATTGCTTCCAATTTTAATTCCAAACTCCCTTTTCTCCTTTCCTGCTAGTGTCCTGGAGCTGTATACAGAGTTTAGGATTTATGGATGCAATTCACAAGACATGTAACTAGCAGACTGGACTTTTCCCCAGTACACTCCCAGCTGGGTGACGACATCGTGGCCACTGAGCACTGCATCTGTGTCGGGAAGAAGAGGAGGAAAAGGGCTCAGCAATCATCCCCCATCATTACTTCCTTAGCCTGTGTGTCACACATTCCCTACAAGTTCAAGAGTTCATGCACTGCATTACACTACAAATTACGTTGCAGAAAGTGAAATAATGTGCTATGTAGTTCTAAATCTCCTTTTCCATAAACTATGCTGTCTTGCTTTATTGTTCAGTGATGCAAAACTTCTCCTTTACCGAAGATGTATTGGTCTTGATCCCATTAACGTGGGTCAGTAATACTGTAAGTAATAATCCATGCAAGGCAAAGTCCTCATGAACGTTAACGAAAACACACAACCAGTAGTGGGGTTTTTTTTTTCCATCAGAGCCTTTGAATTTATCAACTCAGTGTACAGAGCATAACGTAAGAGTCTTTGAATTTATCAACTCAGTGTACAGAGCATAACGTAATGAGGTCAGAACGAACAGTTAAAAATCATCATCTCATAGCCACTTGTTGAGATTATGAAACAAAAACAATTGGAAAATCACAATTTACAGACAGTTAGAAAACCTCCAACATTCAGCGCACTCAAGCCCCATAAATTTTGGAAACATGCTTTTCATCAATCTAATATCTACATTTCACTCTGCATAATATTAAGTTGGCTGTACTGAAAAATCTATTTCTTTTCCTGTCTATAATTAAGCCTTACAGCGACAGACAATGAACTCTGCATGTTATTTTTGGGAGGAAAAATGCACCCAAATCCTTGGCTATGTTTTTTTGGTTCAGTTAATCAGATCAGCAAGTACCGCAATCTTCCTTTGGGAAAACTGTACTTTCTTCATTTTATGATGATCATTATCAGGGTCTTCATCTCCCCCTTCTGAAATGCTTCGCCATTGCTTTTTTGTGAAACATTCTGCTTTCTCTCCCCAACACACAGTTACTCTCACTTTTCCAAACTCTTCCAGCAGGCTGGTTCTGCAGACGCTGCACGGCGTGGCTCTCCAAAATCAGGAGAGCGAGGAACGAGGCTCAGTATTTCCAAGCTTCACTCTCCTGAACCATGACTGCTCATTTAGTAACTCAGACCTAATTAATAGCTTTTATGCACTGATTTTTTTTTAAAAACCCTAAATCAACTCCATCTTTTAAACTTTCAAAGGAAGAACCCAAAGCCTTAAGAATGTTTAAGCCAAATGTGGGGTTTAATAAAATGCGTAGATAGAACACATTCTGATTTCTCAACCGCTTTTCTAACTTTACGTTTTAATACACACCGGTCCCAATTACAGTTTTCTTAGCCTAAAGCAAAAAATAATTAACAGTATCCTCCAACTCCTCCAAAGATAATAAAATTCCATTGATTAGCTCCCATTCTCCCTCAATTCCTATCTTCTAATCTGCCTACCACTGACTGAGGAGTAAATACCATTCCCTTGAGACTTACTCGTTTTACTCTGATTTGGAGTTAAGGGCAGGGTTTCAGTCTACTTAGTGTCAGTGTTTAAAGCTTATGGTGCGTCTCTCCTCAAGCCTACTTGCTCATTTCTGATGAAGCAATTTCAAAAAAACCAAACAAACACAAGACTAACACACAAGTCTGATTCTTCAATGTATCGTGCCCTTCCGGAACCATTTATTTTGTGAAAATAATTGGTCACAATATGGGGAACAAAGGCATCACTTTTTCAGGCAGTTAGGGTTCAGTTTTCTTTTCCAATGCTGTGGAAGGCAATTGCTATGACACCCGAAAAGCAGACGGGATGGAAGGACGACCTGGCTGGCTGTTGTCATGCTGAGGACACACTGTGATGTCAGAAGCTAAGAGGCCATGTCCTTTGACCTCCATCATTCCACAGGTCAATGGCAGGTGTAGAGATTGAGCTCCTTCAATTAACCTGCCTTCTGTCAAAAGGCCAAAAGAGCAATACACAGAGGTTTTTACACAAACCCATTTATAATGATAATAAAGTGAACTGTAAGCCCTGTAAGTGATCAAGAAGAATAAATTGAGAGCTATTCATGCCTCATACTCATCCTATCGGGGGTGTCCAGTTCAGCAGTTCCTATGAAATGGGGGGTTTTGCACCCTTGAGTTAGCAACACATCAGGCAGAACATTGATGGATTTGCTAATATGTGGATAACTACAGAAAGGGATGGACAAATGGGACTGAGTAACACACTGCTAAGATCTGCAACTATTATCATAGGGAAGAACAAATCTGACTCCATATTAGATCTGTTTCTCTTACTTTAACCTTTGTATTCTATTGATTTTTCTAGAAGTTAAGAATGTTGCCTAGCCTGAAATATACAGGATAGCCCATTCTCAAGGCTCTGACTTTTAAAGGTGTAGCACTTTTCCATTCATGCAGAGATAAAAAGTTGCAGAACAGAGAATAACATTTGTCTCATTGGAGGTTTATGAGAACATCGTGACCTGACCATCTCGACAGGTGCGAGGATAAAAGATTCCAACACCAAGAAGTTTCCAACGACCAACGACACCCTCTCATCTTTTAGTGTAAAAGAAGTCTGAATTCTAACTTGGGTAAGATGGTTCTCTGGGACACTAGTCCACCATCTTCTTGGTCTGCTGTCTCTCCAAAAAAAGTCACTATTCCTTGACCCAACAACTGGTCTTTTGATCTATTGGCCTGTTATGCAGTGAGTAGTACGGACTTGGACTTGGTAACACTGTGAATCAGGGGAGACAGAGAATTATGGATGCAAAAGTCCACCTTAAACCAAAAAGGAAAAAAAAAACAAAATAAAAGTCAGCCTAGGTCATCTGTGGAGTGTTCTTTAGGGTTTTCTGCCTTTCAGTCTTTTCATTGTTAGCTCAAAACACAAATGCTATGAACATAGTGACATAAAGAGAAAGACCAGGACACAGGAGTTAACAACCATAACCTGCCAGCTCTGGCTACAAAGGACTGCACAGAAGTCCTCCAGCATCTGAAAAATGATTCTTTCTGCCTCTAGGCACCACCAGGGATGTACTTAGTTGATCTGTTTCAGAAATACAAACATCTCCAGGAGAGAAAGGCTGAAATAAAATTATGTGCTTTCTCTCTGGTTAAAATTTGTATTTGTCTAATAAGTCTTAGAAAAATAGATTCTGTGGTCTCAGGCAAAAAAAAATGGTCTTTGGGCTTGGGCTAATCTGGAAGGTTGCTATGTTTTAATTATTTATATACCCTGTATTGCTATAAAGTGGACTAAAATACAGTCAATTTATAATTACCTGTGCAAATTGAAGAGAAACTATTCAGACAGTCTAACATAAAACCTTACTGTTATTGTCCTTACACTGTATTGGGATTATGATTTATCTTCTGAGAACTTAACATTTCAAATTTTATTGTTTTAATCTACCTAACAAAGGCTCTTCCAGAAGCTGGAAATCGGCAAGCTTTCCCAATCTACTACTCTGTTCACACCTCTTTCAACTTTCCAAGTTGGAAATAGCCAGAATCCATACGTGTAGCTTACACTTTCCCTTGGGAAAGAGATAAGAAAGAAACAGGGATGCGTCTCAGTGACGGATGGACTGTTAACACCATCTTCCCTAATGATGTTAGTAAGAACTGAGAAGCAAGAGACATTCCTGAGAATCTGAACAATGATTTCCGATTTCCATTCCATAAGAAAGAACTGTTCAGTCTTCAATACCAGATTGCTCCGCCCTTCCTGACTTAGGTCAACTGGTCCATGAAACATGTACTGAAGAAGAAACTGATCAGTCACAAACTTAGTAAATGTCACCTGGAGATTGGCAAGAAGTCAGAGGTGCCTTTTAGAGCATTCATCACCAAATGTTCACCAAAAGTGTCCCTACATTCCCAGTTCTGGAAAACCAGCATTCAGTTCATGGGATCTGTTAGGTTGCCAGTGGCAAGAGCCCTGCACTGCCTGCTCCTTCTGGTTTTACAGCTACAGCTGTGAAAATCTTCCCTCAACTCCTCTCCCAGGGTGCTGTAACCCCACTACTGACAGCAGATTTTCTCCCTGATAATGAGTGTCAGTGCAATACGAGGGTTGTTACGTGGAATCTGGTGCTAGAAACGAATCTGTCTGCACTCAGCGATCACCACTGATCAAGGTGTTCCATCATCCCCGTTACTGGTATTAACGTGGCTTACAGAAGTTAGGTATAATTTGCTAAGTTGCAGGAGAACTGCTTCCCCAGCTCTCAGAAGGAAGATAACCGGGGAGACTGGCATAACGTCTGTGAGCTATTATCTGTCTGTATGGTATATGGGAGCTGAGTGAAATAAATCTATGCCTGAATAAATCTAGTCAGAAACCCAAAAGGTATCCACTCAATATATTTCCTAAGAACCTTACAGCATCGTGCCGGGCACCGCAGGATGACTGAAAGAGAGACTTTCCCTAATGGTCCTCATAACCAAACGGGAGACAAAGCAAGTAAACACATAAACTCAGGAAATGCATCTTGTAATAAACGTGGTAAGGCAGCTACGAAGCACCCTGGGAGTTCACCAGGACAGACTGTTTCCTGCTGGGTGAAGAGAGGTTTGTGAAAACCTTAACCCAGATTCCCAATTCATCGAGTTAAACACAAAGATCATAAGAGGAGAAAGGAAAACTGGGTGGGAAATCTCTGGAATAAGTGTGAAGAACAATGATGCTGTCCACGTCTTTTACATTCAGTACGACTGTGTTATTAGGCAACCACTCGACGGAACAAATATGAATGATAACTGCAGAGCTGGAAGCAAAGAAAAGGAAGGCACGGTGGCCACGGCGCCTCACCTGAGCAAGTCTCATAAAAACGCAGTCTAGTCCCAGGCGTTGTGGGGTTAGGGCTAACAGAATGGTGGTCTCACCCAACAGGAAATCACAGAACTGTCCCAGATTTCTCCTGGTACAGCTGTGTTTGCAGGCAGGCCAACATCTGTATCAGTCAAGACAAACCTTTGTCAATTGACACATTTAATAACCTTTATGGATGGAACTTCTATAGCTTCCCTTGGTAGTCAGCCTAAGAATTTAATCATGCTGATACCCAGGATCTTGTCCGGGGTTTAGTAAACCTCTCAGCACAGTCACACGTGCATAGCTGTGCAGACACCATCAGGGCTCCAGGATGACTCGGCTAGCCAGACTGCCGTCCATAATAACAGCATATTTATTGAGGGCTCACTGTGTGCCACAACTGCTCCAACTGGTTGGCATGGATTGATTTACTTCTCTCTCACAAGGACACTACCAAATGACTTTTGTCATCCTCACACTACAGAGCAGTAAGCTTGAGGGACCAGTAATACAGTGAAGTCACCAATAATATACAGCTGGTACTTGGCGGAGCGGCCTGGTTCTTGAGTCAGTGCCCTTAACCACTTCTCTAAGAGCATCAGGATAGCCGTGCAGACATCAGGATAACTACATCATAAGGTACACAGCAGAGGAGCAATAAATACTGAGGAAGGAGACCTGCGTTCCATGGTACGTAAGAACCCATCAATTGTAAGATGCACCATTATTATTTCTCATACCACTACGAAAGAAAAAACCTTGTCAATCAAATTATGACACAGCGGTCAAAAGCCACCAATTATAAGACAGTCCTGATTTCAGAGATGTTAAAATGAGGGTGAAAATGTGCATTTTGGAATCTACAAAGTACTGTTACACTCTGAATTACAGTGAACAAATCATTTACCCAGAGGCTCAGTGTCTACATTTGTAATAGGAGGCTGATGAGTATTAAGGTCCCTTCTGACAACCTGACAAGTCTAGATACCACCTGTATAAAGAACAGGGTGAGCATCAGGGTGAAGAGAGTGAGGCGTCCAGGGCGCAAAATTTAAGGAGGCACTACTCTCAGGTTAGTGCAAGTCCAGTGTGGGTACCAGAAAGTGAGCGCCTCCTTAACTCATGCACCCTGGCTCCTGGCTTCCCTCATCTGAGTGGGGCTCTGATGAGGAAAGCCATGAGGGATGCAGACAATCTATCTTCTGGGTTTTTCATTAAGATCTTTTAAAATGACCTGTTCACACTTAAGAGCAACTTTTCCCAATTACTTTCGTCTCTCCTATAGCGACATTTTCCTTGCCATGGAGTATTTATATTTCTACTCCCTTTTCAGCTTCCCCCCATTTCTATGAAAATCCCTGATTCCAAATTCATTCTGCTGGCTCTGCACTGTTTTACTGAGGTCAAGGACAGATGTGTGAGCTCCCTTGGGCTGGTGGCTTCCCTGTATCCCTAAGTTGTAAACTGCATCCCATCTCATGGGAAACCCAATGCTGATCTCAAGGGATGGATATAGAGGAGGCCCCTGCTACTTGGACCACCAGGATCACATTGCCTGGGAGCATCTTAGAAATGCAGAATCTCAACCCCACTTCTGGACTTGCAGAATCTGCATTTTAACAAGATCCCTGGGGTCCTTATAAACGGCAAATTTGAGAAGCACAGGACACGGCAAAATCATGCCAAAGACACAGGAAAACTCCAGTGATAATAACTACTCCTTATTAAGCACCTAACAGGCGGCAGATGCTTTCCGCACAGCATCTCCGTTCCATTCAACAATACAGACAAGTAAATGACGATTCTTTTAAATCCAGTGACCCAAGTGGAAGTTCTTCTCGAAGTATGGTGTACCTATCACTTCAGGCCAACAAGGCAACGTTTTGTAAACTTTTTTTTCCTGCAAATAGCAGCATATGCTTTCCCTGCAACTATAAACACTAGCGATCAGGACTTTCAGTCTGCACAGGCTGACGTCAACTGCGTACACTTAATCTAATTATTAAACTTTCTGAAATTCAGTCACCTGCGATGTAAAGTGCTTAGCCGTGCATGGCAAGCAGGGAGAACTCCACAAATAAAACATACTGTGCCACTCGGCCAGTAGCAAAGGCTAGTTAAACTCAACGAGCCCAAATCATTGGCCTCAATTTGCCCTGTCCTTCAATTTCCTCGAGAGAAAAATACGGCATCTATCTACACAGCTCTTAAGTGATAACAGGCAAAGATATCATTGTCTCTTCAAAACAACCCCTCTTCTGAGTAAAGATACCTGGATGTAACTTTAATTGCGACAGAAAAATTGAGCAGGCAAAAACAAAACAAAAACCAAAAAACCCAAAAAACCCCGCCCTCCTCCTACGACTGTGGATGTTCATTCTGATAGCACAGAGGCACCTTGCTCATTTACTGAACTCCAGGGAGGTAGAGGGTTGCTTC